TTTGTTTTTTTTTTTATTTTTTTAAAATTTTTTTAATATTAATTAGTTTATGATTAGTTTTAGTTAATTAAAATTACTTAGTTTATTAGTTTATGTTTAATTAGTATCTAATTAGTTTATTATTAATTAGTATTTAATTAGTTTATGATTAAAATGAAGGAAAATGAATTTGAAGATTTGTTAAAAATGAAGTTTGAAGAAGTTGTTAGAAATTAAGTTTAGGGTTTGAAGGTTGAGAGTTTAAAGAAGTTGTTAGAAAGTTCAAAATATGAACAAAGGACAAAAGTGTAAAAAGAGGGACGATATTTAGTAAAAGGGGAGCGGTAAATAGCAGAAAAAAAACTAAATTAAATCTTTAAGTTTAGACCCATTGCAGCTTCTTCCCCTATAAAAAAAAAAGTACGCATTAGCCAAATTGTTTTTGTTTTGCCCGTTCCATTAGATAGTCTTTGAGCAATATATGAGGGTTTTTTTTTTTTTTTTTTTTGTGAATAAGTGTTTCTTTTTCCTTTAAAAAAAAAGGTCTGGTTTAAGGATTTTTATTTTGTTAAATTAGGTTGATCTTTTTAATTTAGAGATTTTTTTTAAATGGCCTACAAGCACACTGGCGTACGTATAAAAGCAAAATACTATATTTATTATCTATTTTTCTCGAAAAAATCTGTTTATTATTTTTAATTTTGGGTTTACAGTAACAAAACAAAAACAAAAACAAAAAATGTTAAGGCTACGGTACCCTCAATCCTATCCATGAGCTCATGGAGGACAACTTCATGAGCCAAAAGACACTACTTCCCCTCCCCGACATAAGTATACATATAAATTGCCGTTTATTCCGTTTATTAGGTTAATTTGATTGTATTCTTTTATTTATTTTTATTTTATTATACATCTTCTGTACTTAATTTTGAGGAATTGACTGTCAACAAATTAAGGAAGAATTTGAATGCTGACCTTACCAATAAAAGAAACAGAAACAAGGTGAATAATAATATTGAATCTTGATGACCAGCTAAAATTGAGCGCATGATCACAATTTTTCCAAAAGAGATCATCATAATATTGAGATATCTAATTGGTTTATGATGAGATATCTAATTGGTTTATGATGAGATTGATGATAAAAGCTAAGATTATCATATAACTATGTTTATACACTAGAATTCTTGTGATATATTAATTGTTAGAGTACTAGCTAATACAACTAAATTGAGGATGATCAAGAGATAAAGAAGCAATTTCTTAATTGTCTTTATTGGGTACTATATTATTATTATTATTATTATTATAATTATGGTAAATAATCTCATAACCACTGAATGCCAAAAAAAAAAAAATTCTCATAACCACTAATTAACCAGAAATAATTAATTTAAGAAATTTTAAAATAGAAATAAAGATAAAGAAAATGTATCAAATGAAGAAAAAAGAAATAATGCGAATCTATCAATATAAATTTGACAATATCATTTATGCATTGTTTCTTTTAATTCCCCTTTTCCCAAAAAAAATGTGTTGGGAATTAACAAAACAAAAAGTCTATCCTTTGTTTAATTAGGAGAGTGAGTCAGTCAAATCATTCAGTGTGAACTCAAATGTTATCTCAAAACTAAAGCTTTATCCATTTCTTAATTTTCAATATTATAATCCCATTCGAAGGACATCATTAGACCATACATAGAACCTTTTTCTTTTGGATCAAGTTTTTGCTACCAATAAAAAAGTTAATTAGCAGTCGAGTTAATTTTCATGAGTTAATGCGACTCTTTCAGTTACCAGTGAGTGAAGCAAACATTTACATTCTTGTGTTCTAGGGCTACCTCTAGGTAGAATCATCAGATTATTCTCATCATATCATATAATAATATTGAAACAGAAGAGAAAACTGCAGTTATATATATACATAAAATGTGGCTGCACCCATGTAACCATTATATTATGCAAATTAATTAACAAAAAAGATAAAATAAAGGGTTTTTAACACAATTTTCACCACATCAATATCAAAATAAAGGATCCATGGAAATAATTAGCTCGAAACAAACATGACTAGCTAATAATCAAACATTGACATGGTTGTAATTGAAAGTGCAGGCTAATTACTAATCAGAATATTGAGATGGTGTAGGTGTAGGTGTAGGTGTAGGCTCAGCATCTAGAGCCACATATGGTTCATTCAGATCAAAATCTAGTAACTTGGGGGAACAAACCTGCACATGATCATGACTTGCTTCAGCTGCCTCTGCCTGATGACTGGTGCCTGGGATTTGTTTTTTGGAATAAAGGTGTTTGCCCTCTGCTGTTTCAGCTCCAAATAGTCCTCGGGGACTAGGGTTTTTATTAGGGCAAAAACCACTCGGGAAAATCTTGCCTCCTCTTTGTCTTCCTGATGAATTACCCTCCTCTAATTCATCGGCCTTCATCATTGGGTACTTGTGAAATTGATCAAACTTTCGATTCTTTTTCAGGACTTCTGTAGCATCTTCAGCACAATTCAGCTTCGTCCTCTTGTTTTCTATGGAGTTTTCATAATTGATTGGTTTTCCCATCTTTTTTTCTTCCCCAGACCTGTATGAATCTGCCCTTTTACAAGGAAGTCTCTCTTGAATATCCTGCTCAATTTTCAACTTACCCTTCCCTTTCCCATCAAAATGACAGCGTTTTTTCACCTCTGATGGACCTTTATGAAGCATCAGCTGAGCCAGATCAAAAGATTGACCTCGAGCCAGTTTCATAAGGCAATAGGCAGCCTCAGGAATCTCATCAGAGATGGGTTTGGTGGCATAACTCCATTTGGGAAGAGACTTGAAGAGATCAGCAGAAGCTTCATCAGTTTCAGTTGCACTAATCTGATCAACAACTTGGACAGCTTCTTCGTTTTCTGAAACGCTGGAACAGCAGCTGTTTTTCTCAGAATTTGGAGGTGGCTTAATCCCTCTCCACTTCCTGTCGGGATGGTTCCTCATGTGCCCAAACAATGATTTCTTCGACCTGAACTCCTTGTTACATACGGCGCAGCTGAATTTCTCATCTTCATCATCATCTTTATTATTCAGATCATCATCATCAGCAGCTGCTTTTGGTGGCAGACCCGTTTTCTTGGAGATCCGTTTCTTAGCCTTGGCACGATGGATGTAATTCCTGGGCTGAAGCTTTGAAAGCTTTCTATGGCGACTGTTTTTGATTCCCTTGGTGTGGATCCTTATATGCCCTCCCAAAGCCTTTCCCGAACTAAACCCTCTGCTGCAAACCGGGCAGATATGCTGCCCACAATGTTTCAACGGCTTATTGGAGATCTTCAGCTTCAGGAACACTTTGCTTCGCTTTGAAGCTGCTAAATCTGATGATGTTTCCATCGAAACAGACTCTTTCTCCAAGTTTTGATCAGCTTGGTTTTCCATCAAACACAAAGCAAAAACCCAGACAAAACAATGATTTTTCTGTTTGTTTCACAGGAAGAATGAAGAGAAAAGATTGGGATTTCAAGAGACAAACAAGGGGAATTATGACGGCCCGCGCAAGCAATCAAAGAGACAAATAGAGTAAGGCAAGGGGGGCAAAATCAAGTTATTTAGGGCAAAGAAAGAGGAAGAAAAATATTGGAGAAGAGAGTTAAAAGCGCTATATTATTGGGGGAAAATCAAAAGAAATTGGAAAAATTAAAGACCTTTTGGTTTTCCATAGGATTTTGGATAGACACGCCATTTTGCTAAAATCTCTCACTAATATTACGTGCAATAATGACGGTCTTCATTGAATTTCCAATGCATAACCATTTCTTTGAAACTTCACTGTGAGTAATGTTTCTTTTTTTCCTTTTGGTCCATATTTTTTTTTCTTTCTTCTTTTCTTACCTTTATATAAACAATTACCCATTTTCATTATTGCCAAAAGTAAACAAAAAAAAAAGACAGAAATAAGTAATAGTACATTTTATATATAGTATGTTATTAAAGAAGAAAACGTATTGATTTTATTATTTTCTTTCTTCCAAAAGCCATTAATTTTAATTTTTTTTGGATAAATATGTATTCATTTATGCGGTAGCAGGAAAAAGAACTACTACAAAACTAGATACAAAGAGTTTAGTTGCTCATAAAAGAGCCAACTACCAATCTAATTTCAACTTCCAACTATTACAAAGAGAAATATTGACAGAGTCTTTAGCAATATTCTTAAAACCAAGTAACTTCAAACGAATAGAATCGACAATTAGTTGGAAGGATTGCTCAACAGTCTGCATCCTCTGCTGAAATATCCTAGCATTACGTTCCCTCCAAATAACATAACAATAAGCATTCCAAGCTAATTTCAAAACTAAAGAGAGTAGAGATTTCCCTTTAAGTTTTGTAATTACCCACTGAAGCTCACTCTGCCAATCACCAGCTGCCTTAGTCAAATTGCAAGCCCTCAAAATCTTCACACATAACTTCTTCGAATACTCACAAGTAAAAAAGATGTGATCTCTGCATTCAAATTACTGACCACACAACACACAGTCTAGAGATTCAATCTGCACATTCCAGTTACTCAATCTATCCTTAGTAGGTAGTCGATCTAAAATAGCCATCCAAGTAACAATCGAATGTTTAGGCAAGTTACAAGAAAACCATACTAACCTTTGCCATGGGACACGAGGATTTTTAGACCTCAAATGATCATATACAAGAGAAGTTTTATAAACATAACCAGGGAGAGTCCAATCCCCACCAACCTGAATAAACTGATCAACCTTGTTTCTCAAATGAAGCAACTTCTTTATGTTCCAGCTATATCTTTGTAAAGAAGGGATCTCCATAATAGATCGACCCTTAAGAATATATGCATAAATCCATGCTATCCAAAGTGAACCTGATTTCATAAAGATACTCCATAAGTGTTTAAGAACACATGCTTGATTCCAGATGACCAAGTTCTTCAGTCCAAGGCCTCATTCAGATTTGGGATGACTAATCCAATCCTAATTAACTCTAGCCCCCTTAGCATTGCTATCAGATCCTTTCCAGAAAAAGGATGAGCAAAGTTGATTTAATTTCTTAATTACAGCACTAGGGAGAATGAAACTTTGACACCAAAAATTGTGAATGCTAAAAAGAACTGATTGAATCAACTGGAGTCTTCCAGCAAAAGAGAGGTACTTGACTATCCAATGAGATATCCTCTGCTTTACTTTATCAATCAAAGCACCCCAGTCCTTTTCACTTAGCCTTTTTGACACCAATGGGAGGCCTAAGTATCTAACAGGCAGATTACCCACTTTAAAATGAGAAAGTTGTACCATTTTCTGCACAATATCACTAGAAACTCCAGCTGTAAAAAGCTCACTCTTCTCACAATTTAGTTGCAGGCCAGAATACTAATAGAAAAGATCCATGATACTCTTAACTCCAGCAACAGATTCAGGATTCCCCTTAACAAATATCAACAAATCATCCGCAAAACATAGATGAGTGGGATGGATCTGTTTGCATTTAGGATGACAAGAAAAAAACGCCAAGCTGAACAACATAATCAAGCAGTCTAGAGTCTAGACAGAACATTCATAGCAAGAACAAAGAGATAAAGAGAGATAGGATCTCCCTGTCTAACCCCTCTAGCACCAGCAAAATAACCCACTAAGCCACCATTAATAGACAATTAATACATATGACTAGTGAAACAGGCAGAAATCCAAGAAATATAGGTATCAAGAAAAGAATGAGCTTTAAGAATGTTGATTAAGAAATACCAATCAATAGAGTCAAAAGCCTTCCTTAAATCAATCTTTAAGGCACATCTAGGTGAAGAGCTTTTCCTATTATACCCACAAACAATTTCCTGAGCTAATAAAACATTGTCAACTAATTTCCTCCCTTCAATAAAGGCACACTGATTCTCAGCAATAAGATGTGGCAAACAATGTTTCATTCTATTAGCCAAAATTTTTGTAATGCACCTATAAATGATAGTGCAACAGGAAATAGGCCTAAATTCAGTAATATAATTGGGGTTAGGTACTTTAGGCACAAGGGTAATAGCAGTAGAATTGAATGCTTGAAGTAAATGACCTGTTTGGAAGAAATACAGAATTGCCTCCTCAACATCTTTCTGCACAATACTCCAAGTTGATTTGAAGAAGTAAGAATTGAATCCATTTGGTCCTGGCGCTTTGTCACCACTAATAGAGAAAATAGCGGATTTAATTTCAGCTGTAGTAACAGGAGCAGATAAAGACTGTCTTAAATTTACAGGCACCGTATCTTGTAAAATATCCGTCAAAAGGTCAATTGAACATCCACCAATAGCTCCATCTTTCTTCCCAAGCAAAGACTGGAAAAACGGAATAGCCTTATCAGAGATTTGCTAGAAAGTTTCAAGCTTAGTATCAATAGATCAATAGCTGTTTCCAGAGATTTAATGGTATTAGATTTTCTCTTGGCAGTCACCATTCTATGAAAAAACTTAGTATTCTGATCCCCCTCTTGAATCCATTGCACCCTGGATTTTTGTTTATGAAAGCTCTCTTTAGCACTTAAAAGATCTTTTAACTCCAATTCTTTCACCTTCAACTCATCAACTAGCTGTGAAGATGCAGACTGTAATAAAGAAGTTTGTAATTGAGCTACTTCTCCTCTTTTTTGGTTGACCTTGTCAGAAAGCTGCCTAAAATTATCTCTGTTAAACTGCTTTAAGACTGGCTTCAGTCTTTTAAGTTTCATAAACAACCTCAACATGGGATCTCTACCATAAACTGGTTGAGGCCAAGACTGTTTCACAGTAGCCATGAAATTATCATGTTTAGTCCAGAAGTTGAAGAAACGAAAAGGCTTGGGAGGGGAAAAATTTTGAGAGTCCAATTTCACCAAAATGGCACAATGATCAGAAACTTCTGGTGCCAAAAACTCCACAATAGAATTCTGGTAAGCCTCAAGCCAGCTGAAATTAACTAATGCTCTATCTAACTTTTTAGAAATAGACCCTTCATCTCGTTTATTCCACCAGGTAAATAATGGACCAGAATAAGCATGATCAACTAAATCTAATTGAGAAATACATGAGTTGAAATCAGAAATATCACAGCCAGCAATTTGTGTACCATTAAACTCAGAGCTTTCCTTAATTCGAGAGATAACGTTAAAATCCCCTACTACAAGCCAAGGGTCAGCACCAATTGTAGTGGCAGTCTGCAATAAGTAGCTCCACAAATTCCTCCTATCACCTTCATTATTAGCACCATAAACAGCAGAAAAATAAAACTTCTTACTATTATAAGTAATATGGCAAGTGATACACTGATCACAAGAATTCACCAAATCAACTTAACAACAACTTTTCCAAAGAAACCAAATTCGACCATTAATTGCATGATCATAGTTGCAATAAGACTTCCAACCAGAAAACAAATTGGAAAGAATACTAGTAGATTTACTAATCTTAACTCTAGTTTCTAATAAGCAAACCACATCAACATTAAGCTTATTTATTCTCTTACTCACCTCAGACTGTTTGTCAGGGGCATTAAGACCCCTGGTATTCCATACTAGGAAAGTCATTTTGAAGAAGAGTGTGAAGCACTAGTAGAAGCAGTTTGACCTGCTTTAACTTTGGACTTCACTTGATTATTCTTAGGCTTTGATTGAACCTGCATCACAACTTCCTTAACCCTCGCTAAAGCAGCTCTAGGTTTTCTAGTAAATGTAGCTTTATCAATCTCATTCACAATATCAGTCAATCTATCAACATCATCTATGTGTTCCTCATCAATTATATTAGCTTTAGTTTGTAAAGTTGCATATCTATTACTTGACTGTTTTGATGCATTAGCTTTACCTTTCTCTGTAGCGGTAAACTTTCTCCCAGTACCTTTCTGCACATCACTTTGCTGAGCAGTACTACAGCCTATTGGAGTATTCTGTTCAATGTTTCTCACCATTAGTGACTTCTGTACAGTAGCTGGAGATGTTAAAATAGTGAACGCTCCAACCTGAACTTCCATTTTTACAGTTGGCTTTAAGGACATACCATTATCTACTTTTGCTATATCACTAATATCTGCTATAATCGGAGTATATGCTAAACCACCAGTATTTGATATATTACCAGCATCCGCAATATCTCCAGTAGTATCTATACTTACAGTTTGTTGAGCTATATCAAGATTCTTTTTAGGTGTCCATCTCTGCCTACCAGGTTGTTTTGGCACTACTGAACAATTAGCATGACCAAAAACGTTGCAAGTACAACATTTTGGAGGCCTCCATGGCACTTCAATTTCAATAGAAACTGATGTACCATCTTTCAACTCAATGACAACTTCCAAATCAACTTCTACACATACCTTTGCAATAGAAAGCTTTTGTTTCAATGCTGTAGCTCTATCCATATAGAGTGGATTGCCTAAACCACTGGCAATAAAACTCAAACCCAATTTAGTGTAAAGCTCTAGCGGCACATGCTTAAGGGTTATCCATAGAGGAAATTTCCTCATGTCAAAATCTAATCCAACACCCCCTGGTTCCCATCTCTTGATAAAAAGAGGTTTGTTTTGAATGTGCCAAGGTTCATTCTCCAAAACCCAAGTTCTTGTAATTTCATTGGGAAATTGGATTACATACAGGTTGGAATCGATCTTAATGATCTTAACTAAACCATCACGACCTAAAGTCTATTTACCATATGCTGAAAAGAATTTAGATTGGGAATCTTATCCATAAATTGTGCCATTATGCAATGCTTCCATTTAGCTATACCAACTCGTAAACCTCTGCCAGCACTCGCAACACTGGCTTTCCTGGATCAATAGGAGACACCGATCGAAGCTGAAAAACCTCAGCAAGAATTGAATTCCAAGCTCTCCTCGATTGAGTATCTGCTTCCTTGATCTGGTCTAGATTGATCGAATCAGCCATAGCAACGCTTGAACCCATCAACTAAGATCAAAATCACAGAAAAGGAGTAGGAAATAGATGAAACGAGTGAAAAGAAAAGGAAAATCTGCTAAGGAAACAGGGGAAATTTAGCCTTGCTAACGTGCATCGAGAGAAAATAGAAAATGTGTGCCGCCCCCTCCATTAATTTTAATTTTGTTGTAAGCCTCTTCTTCTTTTTTTTTTAGTAAAAATCGGGTCTTTCAATACGATAAAGAAGTACAATCAGATTGTAGAGGTGCATTAAGCCAAGAAGGCATGTTCTCTATCCATACAAATTCTTCATCTAATGATAATCCATAGCGAGCTAATTCATGAGCAACTGAATTGCCATGTCTACTAACATAATGAAAGAAGTAACAATCCAAAGATTCCTTTAAAAGTTTGGCATCGTCAAGGAGGACACCAATCTGAGAGAAATCAACATGAGGAGAATTTAGCTTCTGGATAATGTATAAAGCATCTCCTTCAATCATAACAGTATGGAAACCCATTTCTTTTACCCAAGAGAGAGCCCTAAGAACAGCATGAGTTTTAGCCAAAGCAGCATCCAAAACATGCCTCATTCTACCTGCACAAGCACCAAGTGGAAGTCCCAAAGAATTTTTGCTATTATCCCGTAACCTCCCAAGCTACCAGTGTCATGAAATGCCCCATCAAAATTAAATTTTACCAAAGAACTCGGTGGAGGTTGCCATCAAGGAGGAGTACTAGGCTGCTTGATTTTAGCAACAACTTGACATCTTTCGAATTCTTTGGAATAAGAGAATGCAAACAAGGCAGTTTCAAAATGTCAGACCTCTTTTTCTTCAAAGACAAAGCTTTTCCAAGCACCCTATATCGCATATGCCGTAACTAAACTAAGTCGAAACTAGTGTGGATATGTTCGAGGTTGGCCTCCTCTTTCGATGAATCTTATTCATGTGGTATAGAGTCATCATGGAGAAAGAACTCCCAAACATGGGACCAGATATTAGCAGCAAAGGAGCACTGCTTGATAGCATGTAAACATGTTTCAACTTTTGATTTGCACCTAGGGCAGACACGATCCACATCCATACCTTGCAAAAACAAATTATCCATCGCAGGCAACAAAGCATGAAATAGGCACCATGAGAAGAATCTAATTTTCGGTGGAACTATAGCTCTCCAAATCTGCCGAAGCATCCTTTGATCTGCATCAAAATCGTCTAAGTCAATCGATGCCTCCGTATGTTTTTTTGTGAAGAACTCGATAGCCACTTCAAGTAGTGTACTATCCATCATTCTCAAACTGCCAAATTATTTGGTTGTCTAGTGCTTAAAGGAACCTGTAAAATAGCTTATGCTTCGTGCAGCTCAAACAAATTCATGATAAGATCATAATCCCAACAGCCTCCATCTCCATTGATTAAATCCGAAACTACCATCTCATGCGGCAAAGCTTCAATTCCTGATTTTGGTGTAAAATCAATAAGTTTTGGAACCCATTTATCCTGAAAGACTTGAATATTTCTGTCATTACCAACTCTCCATCGAAGGCCTTGGTGAAGCAACTCTCGACCTTTAAGTATACTCCTCCATGTAAATGAAGGTCGCCATCCAATCTTAGCTTCTAAAAAGGTAGATCGTGGGTAATACCTTGCCTTAAGGATTCAAGCAATAAGACTATCAGGATGTTGCAATAGTCTCCATCCTTGCTTAGCGAGCAATGCTGCATTGAAATTCTCCATTTCCCAAAATCCCATCCCACCAAAATCCTTTGCTGCACATAATTTCTTCCATGCTAACCAATAGATAGGACGTTTATCCAATGATTGCTTCCACCAAAACCGACTAAGCATACCATCAATATCAATACATAAACTTTGTGGAAAAGCAAAAGCATTCATGGCATTAGTGGGAATAGCCTGTAGTACTGACTTAATCATCACCTCTCTCCCCCCTTGGTAACCATCTAACATTCCAGCTGCCAATTTTCTTTGCTATCCGCTCCTTGATCCAATTAAAAATAGCTTTCTTATTACGACCAACCAAAGTAGGCAAACCCATATATTTTTCAATAATACTATGTTCACTAACTCCAAAGATCGTTTTCACCTCATCTCGGAAGAACTGACTCGTGTTACTACTAAACAAGACAACTGATTTCTCAAAGTTGATCTTTTGACCTGAGCAATTCACATAAATCCTTTGATAATCTTTCACCTATACCTGCTTTCATCACTATTCGCTTTTCCAAATAGTAAGCTGTCATCAACAAAGAAAAGGTGACTCACCCAAGGTCCACGTTGAGAAGCAGAAACACCACTTAGCAATCCATCTACTTTACCTTTTGACAAAAGAGCAGATAAACCTTCAGTACACATCAGAAACAGGTATGGCGACAAAAGATCCCCTTGCCTTAATCCCCTCTCTGGCCGGAATTCATCTGTAACATCCCCATTTACTACAACTGAAAAAGAAACTAACCTAACACACTGCATAATCATGTCAACCCATTGTGCAACATACCCCATTTTGAGCATAATAGCCTCCAAAAGATTCCATTCTAATCTGTCATAAGCTTTGCTCATATCCAGCCTCCAAAGAATTTTGCTGTAAGCCTCTTTATAATTCTTAATATAAATTGAATTAAGAACTTCGACTAATTTCCCAAGCTAATAAAAAGATAATCATAAAAGGGTTTTGTTTTGTTTTTGTTTTTTTTTTGCTGGTCAAGAAAGATAATCATATAGGAGCGACCATATATACAAGGTTAAGAAAATAAAGGCCTGCACCCGAGTTGTTAGTTCAACTGGTAGGTACACCATGCTTGGACAGTGAGGTCCTGGGTTCAAGGGATCTGGCTCCTCTCCAATCAACTAAAAGACTGGAGAGGCCAGTCCATATGTAGGATGTTGCCACATCATCTTTGTAGCAAACAAACGCTGATATGAGTTTTTATACAACTTAAGAATTATCATTAAACATCACATTGCCTTTTCTTCCCAAATGACGCAAACTAAAAATTCCAAAACCAGAAAACTGAAATATGTCCCTCGAAAACAAGAAAATTCGGTTCGGCTTCTCCACTGAAAACCGAAAACTGAAATATATTTTCATAATTTTTCCTTGCTCATGTTTTAAAACTCTAATTCCAAAATTGAGGTCAAATTTGAGGTTTGATTTGATTTCTTTCTCTACCTAGTCCATATGGATTTTTCTCTTCTTTCTGGATAAATCTTCAAAACCCGAAAGCAAAAAAGAAAAAGAGAAGTAAAATGGTTTCCAATATTTTAGCCTCCATTATTATTAGTTTCTCTTGTCGAGAAAACTTCTTTGAAATGTCAGTATAACTCTTCCATCACTGTGCATGAGTGTTGAATAGGAAAACTAGTCGATTTGTCTCGTTAACTTTGGGCATAAAGTAAAACATGAAAGGGTTTGAACTTTGAAGACGAGACGACATTTTTTTTTCAAAAGAGTAACAGAGATGGGAGAGAGGAAGCCGGCATTACCGCCGATTGTGTTCTAAATTAGGATAATTGCATGGATATTTTACATTTTGTTTGCAGAGAAAAAGTAATCCCATGTTACACCGTTATATTGTTGCAAGAGATCTCGCCCTTTGATTTTATACTAACACACGTGTATACATCTTAATATGGATTGGCCTCTCCAATCCATCTAAAGGACTAGAGAGGAGCCGGATTCGGATTCAAGTCTCACGGAATATGAGTTTAGTTTGCAATTTGTTTATTTGTGTTTGTAATTTGTTTATGGGTAATTATTTGATACACCGGCAGTGTAAATTTTTGACTCCACAAGCGGGTTGTGGAGTTGACACATGTCCATTTTATGAATTAATTAAATTTTAAATATTTCAATCTAGTCCCTAGGGGACACATGTCACCCTTCAAGACCCGCCTGTGCAGTCTGCTAAACTCCACTGACGGTGTATACCTTTGTTTATTTGTGTATTTGATAGTTGATATGGTTTATTTATGGTAGTTTCTTAGTTTGAATTGAATTCTCATTTAGATGTTTGGGCATATAGAGATTTATTCGGATTGTAATGAGGTTTCATTTGTACTAACTAAAAAAAAAGAAAGAAAATAACGGCCTCTGGGTATAGTTAGAAAACAAAACAAAAATATGCAAATTTAATTAAGAATATTAAAACCTATTTAATTCATCTTTATTTTGAAATTTGATAAAGAAGAGATTATTATAACATAAATAGATTTGAGCATAGAAAAACATGTTATAACAATGGAACATATATACACACACATCATGGTATCAAATATATATATATATATATATATAGACACACACACATCATAAATAAATGTCTTTTTAGGGATATAATGATCAAATCTCATTACATTCAGAATATTTCTAACGAGAATTCAACTCAAACTAAGAAATTTTCTTAAATAAACTACATACAAACTAAACAAAACAAATAAACAAACTAGCTAAGCCCACTCTCTATGGGACTTGAACTCAAAACCTCACGGCACAATGCATTCATCAATAGAGCTAACAACTCGGATGCAGTAAAAATATTATTTTTATTCTTTTTTGTAAATGAACATAACATGTCCAGATTATTACACTCGTATAGAGAATGGAGATAAGATTTGAGTTCAATTAAAAATGAAAATGACCAAATGCTAAATTATATATTGCTCAAGAAAATGGTAAATTGTATTAGTTATTTTATAAGGATGATCGTGTCCTCTATGACCATAAAAATAATCCCCACAAATAACTAACTAGAATAGCTAGGGAAAGTAGGGGTCGAATCCCACAGAGAAGGTTTATGTGATGAACAATTAAAAGATAGAAAGATCTTTTCCAAAAATTGATTAGAAAACAGGGGATTTAAGAAATTAATTATAAAGAAAACAATTAAACTAAAAATAAAGCAAAGCAAATCTAAATCTAAATCTAAATCTAAAGCAGATTATAAAGCAAATTAATAAAGCAAACAATAATTATAAAGCATACTTCTTCACCAGTGGTATCCTTCAATTAAATTAACTATGGATCCTAGATTTAAAAGGTGAATTTCGCATCTTATTCTTGACTGACAACTGATATAGGTTTCCCAACATGTATTTTAGATAAGAGGCCGATTAGAGCTGCAGTTATCCCTATTATTCCTTCAATGATCGATTACTTTTTTAGGGCTTAAAGATCACTTAAGAACAAAGCATTAAGAACAGTTAATTTACACACATGCCTATAAATAGAACCATACGAAGAGAAATTTCTCGCCCTCCGGTAGACAAATACCCATTAAGCAGCGATTAAACAAACCTAATTTGCTACATACAATCAAACTTGAGTGATTAATTCTAAGTATGATCTAGCCATAGATCTTCCTCTTACATCCTCAGTGGCCACATAATTCAGATAAGATTCAGAATCATAAAATTATTCTAGGGTTTTGACTACTATCATTAAGAACTTAACACAAAATTATAAGTATAGAAATCTCACCATAATCAATTGATTGAATTCACCAAAGGATCAGAAGTATTAAGGATTTAGCTACTCATGGATTTAGGAAAATCCATGAGAGGCATAAGAATACTTACAGGACTGGGAGAGGCGGAATCTCCCCTTTGAAACCCTAGGGATGTCGACTCCCTCTATTGCTAGAGAGGGTGTCGACTTCTCCCCTTCTAAAACTAGAGAAAAAACCTAAAAACTAAAGAAAGGTAGAAAAAGAGAATTATCTAAAATTTGTGGATTGTGAAATTGTGTAGTATTGTGTGTGTGTGATTTGTGATACAGGAGGTGGCTATTTATAGTGGAGAATAAGGGTAGGACGGTTTAGGCTCTTTTCTTGGAGTCCAAGTAGGATTAGGTGTCATCCTAGAGTAGTCTCCAAGTCAAAAGAGGACTTCTAGAATTTCCTGGAAATTTCTGGAAAATTGAGCAGGGACTTCGACTTCAGTTTCGGGCTTGAAGATGACAGATCTGGGCTTTGCACTTCAAAAGAAATTTGTAGAGCTCGGAGTTAGCTTTCCAACGAGTACTCATGGGCTTAAAACGGACATCTGAGCAGAAAGTTATGGCCTTTTTACGAAGACTGCGCTGAAACCGGGCTAATATCGCAAATCTACGGGATTATTGTGGGATTTGGATATTCTTTTGGATATTAGGCCTATTAATTGGGATTTTAACTCCAATTATAGGTTTATATGGGCTGAGTATATTCCCATATAAATAATCCAAAAATCCTCAACTTCAGGGCTTCATCTGGACTTGTCTTCAATCCTTAATAAATTAAGCTCCAAATCTTCAATTTTGCTTCTTGAATTAATTCTTCAATTCTTCAAAATATCTTCAATCACGAACTTCTAATCTTCAAATCTTCATTCCAAGTGGCTAAATCCATAGTTGAGTAAAAAGTCTCCAAAATAGCTCCAAAAAGAGTGAAAAACAATAAGTTTTCACTTTTCTTGTCTTCAGGACCTAAAAACACAAATACTAACAAAATAGGGTAAAAACACATATAAAAATAGCAAAAAGTATATAAAAATAGCTATAAAAACATGCATAATTTGAGCTCGATCATAATTTCCCCCACACTAAATCTTTGCTAGTCCCTAGCAAATTAGTGTAGACAAACAAAAATTAAGATTTAAAATAATAAGTTTTATTCAAATCTTTTGAAAAACTTTGAATCATATACATATATCAAGGATCAATTCAATTTATGAAATTAGAACATCATAGAATATTAAGAGTATCCAATTCAATAGATCAAGATATAGCAATCATCCTCATTCTTAAGTAACCATAATCAAAGTAGCTCTAATCACTCATCATTTATCACAACTATAACTACTTCTTTCTATAAGCTTATGCCTTCATCTTTATCTCTACTACTCAAACAATTGCATATCATGAATACAAATCAAAAGTTTCGCATGGGTTATAATGATTTTCAAAGGGTAATTATTTTAGAAAAGTGAGGTTACTAACCTCAAAGTGTTCATGCTTAGGGGTTACTAACGCCCTTTATTTATTTTTGTGAGGCTACTAGCACTCTAGAGGGACAATACTTTTGCCGATCCATGCCTCTTATCCTCTTCCCAAGGGTTACTAACTCCTTTTGTTTAAAGAGAAGAGTGACAACAATGGATTTTTTTTTTAAATTTTAAGGCAAAAGATATCTCTTCTCCTCTTGCATGAAAAACACTCTTTTTAAGAAAAAGATTTTTTTAACTACCCTTCTAATATAGATAGTCCCCCACACTTATTTTTGACATATTCATAAAATACTCTCATAAGTGTAGTTTCAATAAAAATTAAACATGAGTTCTAAAAATAGGCAATCATAGAAATAATCTATGGTAAGCAATTATCACAGACTTCAATTATACCTAATCTAAGAATTAAGATATCATACTATAGATAAATCAATGAATCAATCATTCTTAAGAATTCTAAGATATCATCAATCAAAAATAAATCAATCGATCAATATGTGCATATAAAATCAAATTTTTGTCAAAATTTTCGAAAAAATTATTCCAATTTAATCAATTTTATGCATATAGACTCACTCCCC